ATGGACATCCTGGCTTTAATTCCCACTTAGGGAAAATGAATGAGCAAAAATCTTTACAGCATGTTTCCTTGGTTCTGCCACACAGAATTAGCTGCTTCAGGAAGAGTGCATTTGGTCTTCAGTTTTTATCTGTCGATCGGTGCTGGGTATAGCTATGTTGCCTTTGGTGAAATGGTACATTTTTTTTTTTTTCCTCCCTCCTCACACTATACAGAACTCTTACTTGCAACACCCGATGCAGCCAAGAGGACTTCAACAGACTATGAAAGGCTTCCCATTTCATTTCTTTGGTCTCAGATTTTTCTTTTGTGTTTTGTTGCGTTGTGGGCAAAGGTAATTCTCAGCTCTGTATTAAAGAACCATAAGCACAAACATCTTTAAGCATCGCTGTTGAAAGGCTCTTTTTATGAAACCGCCGTTCATTAGCTGTGAAGCCTTACTGTAGTGTACCTTTAAATCAGATTTCAGAATCCATGCAGCCTCTGGCCTGACTTGCACTGCAACCTTCACTGCCTCTTGGGACTTCATGAACATATATTGGTTCTGTTCTTGTATCTTTAATTTTGTGTGCGTAGTTACAACCTAGTTTTGTCTCAGGGACTGGACTGTCTGTTAGATATTAACTTTATACAATTCTCTTGTATGTGCAGATTGTATGTTTTTATACAATGCGCTACCTGTTGTACAGTGTTTGTGAGATGTTACCCATTTTAACATGGCACTTTATTGTTTTCAATAAAAGCCTGTTGTTCCTCAGTTGATAGTACTTGATATTGCTGATGATTGTGAGTTTTATATCGTACTGTGCCGCTGGACCACACACAGAGCTGGAGGTGGGAGTCAGTGGTTCTTTGGGTTTCCTCCTTTCTGCAGGTGATATTTGAAATGTTTTTCCAGAGGTAAAGCGCTCTTGTTTTTGGACGGAAAGGGTGGGGAGGGTGGATGGGCTTTTTTTGTTTTTTAAAAGTCTGTAGCATTGTTTACCTGGGGTTTTTTTTCCTGCCTGTTCTTTTCTTTACTATTAAACTGCTGATTTGTTTATTTTCAAGAATGTTTTGCAAACATCCTTCTCACTTTTCCCCAGTACAACTGTAGGTACATTGTTCCTTTTTATCAAATAAGCACGTTTGAAGCAAACTGAAAAAAAGGTCTTTAATGTCATGTAAAGGAATGTTTTTTTTAATGTGTTCAAATGTACAAGTAGAGACTTTTACTTTGTCTTGTACAATAATGCATTACTTTCAGCTGACTGACAGATTTATGTTAAGTTAGAAGATGTGAAGGATTAGAAGCTTTCTGCAGAGAACACGATGCCAAAGTAAACCTTCCTCTTCTTGCTAAATTCAACTCGCTGGTTTTTGCCTTCGGCAGGGCTTTGCATAACGGTGCTCTGCCTATTGATGATTTTTACTTCTAGAAAGAAGATGCCCTGTAGAACAAATTGCTTGTCTAAAAATGAAGCAACCCTCTTATTTCTAACTTAACATAAAGTTGTTGCATGGTGCCTTGGATATGTCAGGATGTTCACGTGCACTTGCATTTCTTCCTGTAGGCGTTTGTTGTGAAACACCTGTTGGAGTACACACAGCAAAATGAGTCCAACCTGCAGTACAGCCTGTTGTTAGTTTTTGGCATCTTTATGACGGAAATAGTGCGCTCCTGGTCCCTGGCGCTAACCTGGGCTTTAAATTACCGCACGGGGGTCAGACTGCGGGGAGCTATCTTGACTATGGTGTTCAAGAAAATTCTCAAACTGAAGAATATCAAGGAGAAATCTTTAGGAGAGGTAAGCTGCAGTTCCTCATTGGAAACTGCCAAGTTGAAGAGTACTTGCTAACATTTTTCTTCTGAGGGTGAGGCACGTTTTTTCACCTCAGATAACCAATATGGTGTTGTGTGTTTTTCAGCTCATAAACATGTGCTCGAATGATGGACAGAGAATGTTTGAGGCTGCTGCAGTTGGCAGTTTGCTGGCTGGGGGCCCCATTGTTGCCATCCTGGGCATGGTTTATAATGTCATTATTCTGGGCCCAACAGGCTTCTTGGGATCAGCCGTCTTTATCCTCTTCTACCCAGCAATGGTGAGTTAAGTGGCCAGGAAACCTCTGGTACAAAGTAAGCCGGAACTAGACTTGAACCATGCATCAAAGGATCCTGTTTCTATTAAAAGAAAACAGTGACTGAATAAAAAATGTTGAGAGATCCTGCATTGGGTGCCTGTATAGTGCTTCATGTTTTCAAACTCTTCAAAGTAAGAGTTTAGAGACTGGCAAAGTCTAGAATTTAAATAGGATGAGATGGAAAACGGGCAACTAAATTGTGAAGCAGTCTGCCCCTAGTATGGGTTATGTTAATTCATTGGACTTGGGACTGGACATAGAAAAACACAGAGGTTCCAGTTCCCATACCCCATTGGCATCCCGATTTTTTTTTTTTTTTTTTTTTTTTTTTT